TTCCAATTTTCATCATTATAAACAATGCTTCAGTGAGTATGTATATATATAGTACATATACACATACACATTCCATATATACACATATACTCCATACATACTATATATATATATCTCCAGGCGATTTTCTGTAGGACATATCCTTGGACATGAAATTGGTAGGTAAAATGGAATGGAGATTCTAAATAATAATTTTAAAATGTGGAGGGGAAAGTTTTGGTTTATATCTTCCTGTACCTTGCACAAACTCAGTGGCTAAGAGGGCAGGCTCTGGCACCAGGCTGCACAGGTTTGTATCTAGGCTTTGTCTCTGTGTCTTAGTCATCTAACATTTATAAAATGGGACAATAAAAATAACTTGTTTCCAGTGTTGTCAGACTTAAATGAGATAAGACATGTAAAGCAATTAGCATTTAGCAAGTATTTGGCAGATATATGGGAGGAAACATGGTAACAGGTTCAGGTAATTGTTTATTGAATAGGACTGAATATAACAATAGTAGTTTGAATAATCTTTCTGGAAATGGCTGGTGCTTTGCTATTAAAACCAGTAGTAATTATTTATAAATGACCAGCTAGCATTAGAGGTGCAATGTATGGCCTTGGAGCAATTTATCTGTGTATAAAATTAACTGGCCTGAGCCAGGATCAGCCAATGACCTTGGGCTCTTCAGTCTCACATTTTCCCCAACAGAACTGGCCCAGCTGCAGCCTGGTACCTTATATAATGGCCATCTCTGAGGATAGAGAACAATGCAGTTCCCTCAAGGGTGCCCTGGCCCACTGCTGAAGGTTATTAGGTCATCAGTCACCCACCCATTAATATTGAAAAGTAATAGAGAGTGCATAAGTAAAAGGCTAGAGTAAAAACTTTCTGATTAGGTTCTTAGATTCTGGGCCAGAAGTCTCCATTTTTTTGGAAAACTTTCTGTGCTAATACTAGAAGATTCTGAAGGTAGTCAACCCTGGCTTCTAGAACCAGCTCTGCCACTAACTAGCTGCACCCCTTTGAGAAGATTGTTGACCCTCATCTTGCATTGATACAATTAAGGGACTTAAATAGTTGATGTGAAAGTCCCTTTTAGGACAGTCCTTTCTCCACAGGCAGTCAAATTTTCAGACATCAGGGCTGTTTATTGTACTGAAAAAATTAATGCATAAAATCAGGCAATGTACGTACTTTCAAAATGTGTCAGTCACAAGATGGAAAAGGATGGCAGCAGCATCATTTAACACCTGTTCTGTGGTGCCCACTACAGGAGAGGTGGGGGGATGTCCTGAAGAAGCACCAGGAAATCCTAGGGTAAGGAAATGGGCTCAGGGCAGCAAGTGCAGTCTACCTGGGGCTGGTCTTGGCCAGGGTCAAATACGGCAAATATGGGGCTGCCTGTGAAATATGAACAAAGTGTGTTAATCACCCACCCCCAAGCCTAACAGATTCTTGTCCTCACCCCTGGAATCAAATTGTACCCATCTTCTTTCTTTTTTTCCTTTTAATCCTCACTGGAGGACATTAAAAGGACATTAATGCATGTATCTTCAGATAGAGCAGGAGGGAGAGAGGGAAGAAGAAAGAGAGAAACATCAAATGGCTGCCACCCACACCTGCCCTTAGGGGAACCGAACCCAGGCCTCTCTGGTCTGAGGGCCAACCGACGCTCTGACCGCTGAGCAAAACCTGCCAGGGCTATACCCATCTTTTTAAACCGGTGTCAAAGCCTACCTCTTTCTGGAGAGCCCACTCCCACCCCACAGAGACATCACTCTCCTCTAAAGGCTGACAGTACTCCGTCTCTGTGCATTTATTCCCAGGGCACTTTCAGGAGGGTTGCCTCGCTGGGGGGGCTTTGGGAAGAAGAAATGGGGATAAAAGGGGAGCCTTCACTCCTGCTGCCTCCCTCCTTGGAGTGACACTTGTATCCTCTCAACAGGACCCAAGGCCTTTGGCTCCTCTTGGCCTCCCAGGCATCCAATACAGTAGTGCTCAGGAAATATTTGCGGCTCTGTGATTGTGACTCAGGCAGGCCCAATGGGGAGCTGAGCTTTATGGGTTTTAATATGAACCATACCGTGAAATCTGAGATTTTTACCTCATTGCTCACACTAGGAACCATTGGTTCCAGTCAGATTTGCTTGGAGCTGGGTGGAATTTTGTTCCTTTTCACTCTGAAAACCATAATCAAATTTCTAAATTCAAAAACACTTACATAGCATCTACTTCATTTTCGACAGTAATCTAAACACTACAAATGTAAACTCATTTACTCTCCATAATGACCCAGATGTAGAAACCGAGGCACCCAAAGGTTACCCAGGGATCAGAGCTAATACACAGCAGATCTGGGATTCAAACCCAGGCCATCTGGTTCCAGAGAAGATGCTCTTCAACATGCCTTGCTGCCTGAAATGTATATGAGTGGCAAAAACCTTCATGAGCAGGGAAAAAAAAAAAAATTGACATTGATGTATTATTTCAAAGGAAATGTTCTCTGTCTCTTTCTTTCTTGTGTCCCCCTTTTCCGTCTTCATTCAAAGCAAAGTGTTGTAGAGCAGTCAGCCTTTTTCACACCTGAGAAAGCCGGTGGCTCATTTTCGCTTTGGCAATCAAAAGGGAAGAGGAAGTGTGTGTAGTTTCATCACCGGTGCTTTCGGGGTGTGTGCTGCGCGTGGTCCTGCCTGCCTCCCGGCTCTTCTGGCTGGGGACCCGTATCCCCAGGCTGTGTGGCCTCAGGTCCCGGAGACTTTTAAACTGTCCACCTTTCCCCTACAATACTGGGAGTAGACCGGCCTTTCCATCACCCCCGCATATCCAGTCCCTGTCCTCGAGCCTCAAGGATCCTCTTCTGCCTTCCTGTCCCTCAAAGCTCGGCAGGACTCAGACCTTACGAGCTACATTTGCATCAGAATCCCGAGACACCGCACCTCACGACCCTCCATTCCTGGGTGAATCCACTGCGTTTCTGTTTCGGAGGTTGATCGACTGGCTTTATGTGTGTTTAAATGTCAACTCCTCACGTGGGAGGCCGGCGTCAGAACCTGCCAGACCTGCCATTGATCAACTGTGGGACCCAGGGCACATTACTTCACGTCTCCGAGTCTCGGTTTCCTCATCGTGAACGGGATGGCTACCCATAGGGCTGCTGCATCAAATGAAGTAATGCCCAGGCCGCACGGCTCGCAGCAGTTCTCCTTGGCAACGCCGACTTGGTGCACGCTCGCCCGTCCCCCTCTTCTCCCGGAGCACCCTCCCGCTCCGAGGGCAGGAAGGGCGTGCGCCACTCTGCACATGGCCCGGTGTCTCCCGTTAGAACGTGCGGCCCCCTGGGCTCTGCGCGCAATATCATGACAACCCGAGAGAATCAGCCTGCTTCTTTCGACCCTAACCCTAAAGCTAACGCCGCGACCCAGAAAGGCAAGGACTCGGGATGCAAGGGGCGCCCGGCTGAAGTCGCTGGGTGGGGCTTTGGGAAGAAGAAATGGAGATAAGGGGGAGCCCGCGCTCCGGCTCGCCTCCCTCCTTCGAGGATGCCCCAGTCCCGGCCTCCTTTCCCGCGCCGGACACCTGCTGCCCCGGCCGAGCGTCCGCGCCAGGGCCTCGGGCCGGGGCCCGCGTCCCACCTGCACCGCGGCAGACGCAGGCGAGGTGGTCGGGGCCGCCTCCCGGGCGCCCGCCCCGCCTCCTCCGCGCAGCCCGCCGCGCCCGGCCGCGCCCCCTCCCACCCCGTGGCGCCCCGGCACCCCTCTCCTCCCCCAGCGGGCTCGGCGGAGCATTGTACTCACATCCGGGGCTGGGTTTGCTTTAATGCGAAACGTAATTAACCCGGAAAAAAGAGCCCAGAGACAAGAGAGAAGGAGGGGGTCGGGTAGGGGGAGAAGAGCGAGAGGAGCGAGAGGCACCGAGAGTTTGGCCGGGAGATAAAGAAATCCCCCGAGAGCGTCGGCCCGCGGGCCGGAGGGGCGCGTCCCACCCCGATGTAACCCACACACCCTACCCGAGCCCCGGCCCCTGCACGGCGGGGTAAGTTGGGTGTTCTCGCGGGCCGGGGGACAGAGAGGCGCAGAGGGGCGCGCGGGCAGGCGCGGGCTGGCGGAGCCGGGGGCGCTCCTGGCCTGGTGGCCGACGGCCAAGGAGGGGGTCGCCGCAGCCCCCGGTCCTGGCCCCGGGAAAGCCTGGAGGGAATCGTCTGGGGCGTCTGGGGTGGCCAAGGTCGCCGCTGTCTGGGGTCGGGCTGCGGGGGTGGGGCCGCGAAGAGGGTGGGGCGGGTGTTCTGCTGAGCTGCATTTTCTCACGTTTGCAGCGGCGAAACTTCGCTGCGGGTGCTGGCGCTGGGGCCGCGGCCCCGCAACAACTGCCCGAGCTGCGAGTAGGGCAGGAGAGCAGACACCGTCCAGGCAAGTCCCTGGGGCACGGCTGGGGCCGTGGAGACTCATCTCTCTCTTCCCCTACCACCTTATTACAGAGCAGGCCTAGTGTGCTTCGGTAGGGAGATCCCTTCCTTTCCTCGGGTCCATCTCCAGCCCTCGGGCTTTGGGAACGCCAGGCTGTGGGGGTGACTTGAAGGAAAACTGTCCTAAAATGCAGATTCGGTGCCTGGCTGGAAAAGCACCTCGAGGGGATCTCTCTCTCTCTCTCTCTCTCTCTCTCTCTCTCTCTCTCTCTCTCTCTCCAACTTCTTCCTCACCTTACTCGCTTCCCTTTTCTGCTGCCGCTTTCCAGTTCTGAAGACTGTTATTTCATCAAATTAAAAAAAAAAAAAAAAGAGGAAAGGGAAAAAGAGGCGTTGTAGCAAGGAAAAGTGTCCAGGCATGTCCTCCACTTCAGTCTTACACATTTCCTCCCCCAGGCCAGCCCTGCCCTCCCAGCCTTTCAGCTTAAAGTTTCTTTCCTTCTTGATGAGTGTGGGTTCAAGCTGTGTCTTCCCCTTCTGATTCCTCCTGTCCCTCCTCCTTTCCTTCTTTAACTCCAAATGGGGCTTGTCGGAGGAGAGTAAACAGTAGAGAGCAGGGAGGGGGAAAGCTCTACCAGGACGCCAGCTGTGGCTCTTGGAGGCACCTCAGCCCGCTGAGTGGTGGTTGCACTTGGGCTGAAGTTCCAAAATTGTACTCATGTTGTTCTTATTATATCTGACTAAGTCAGTCCCCTTTTTCTTCTTTTCTAAAGCTGCATCATTTTTCTTTGTTTGGTGGCAAAGCCTTCAGAAACAGTAAAGCCAAAGATGTTGAAAGAATAGAAATGTTTGCTTTCTATTTTATTTGCATTCAATTGACATATAGTAGATAATAAGGACATGAAAGGCAGTGATGAACAAAATGCAGTCTCTTTTTGTTGTTGTTGTTATTCCTCACCCAAGGATATTTTCCCATTGATCTTCTAGATAGAGTAGAAGGGGGGGAGGAAGAGAGAAAGAGAAACATCCATGTGAGACACATCAACGGATTTCCTCCTGCACCATCTGTGGCCCAGGGATGGAACCTGTAACCCAGGTACATGCCCTTGACCAGGAATCGAGCCCTTGAGCCCTTGGTCCTCGGGCCAAAACTCTAACTGCTGAGCCAGACTGGCCGGGGCCAGTCTCTGTCTTTAGGGAGCTTCCTAGAACACAAAGATGTTTGCTCAAATAGAGATCCGGCATGCTTTGAGAAACCAGAGGAAGCTTTTAAAAAGCATTATCATCATTTCAGATATTAGCCTTCTTCATTGTGTACTACTTGAAGGCAGGTGACTTTTGTCATAATGAAAGTTTAGTTTGTAGTCTAGACTTTGTGGCCAGCCTAGTGTATGACATCTACTAGGTGCTGAGTACATGTTTGTTGAATGAATGAATGAATGAATGCAAAGCACATGCATTGTTTGCACCTATCCAAATGAAAGGGAAAAGAGCAGTGTGGTAGGGCTTCCTACCTGTAAAAATTCAGTCCATCAAGCTGGTTCATGAGGGTTTACTCTGGATGTTGTTTTTATACCTATTTGTAAGCCCAACTTTTTACAAAGTGGTGCACACCTCGTGGGGTTTCATTTAGCTGATGAGGGAGCCTTGCTCACTTCAGAGATGGGTAATCACCTAGGTATTGACTTGGAAACCACTTGCTCTTTGGTGGTGAATTTGCAAAATCTTTTTTTTCTTTGTTGGTGTTGTCTTCTTTCTTCTGTATAAGGAAGTAGGTCCTGCAAATCCCATTGTGTCATTATAGTAAGCTGAAACATATTTAGCTCAGTATTTTACCAAGGCTATAATAAATCCTGAAGACAAGCAGGTTTTGGATGGTGCCTACCTATGGAGAGATTCTGCAAAGTGGGAAGGGAGATGTGTCAGCCCTAGTAGCTGAATACTCCCGAGCAGCCCCCTGCAAACTTGCAGGTGTTGGAACATTAGGAGGACCAAGCAGCAGGAGCATGGTCTTCACGGTGCACGTCCAGCTGGCACTTCATTGATTTCCTGTCTTTTTTTTTTTGTTCAGGTAGAGTGGGAGGGGGAGAGAGGAACAGAGAGAGAGAGAAACATTGACGTGAAAGGAACACATCTAGTGGCTGCCACCCGCACGACCGACCAGGGCCGGGGACAAACTGCAACCGAGGTACGTGCCCTTAGCGGGAACTGAACCCGGGTCTCTCTGAGCGGGAACTGAACCCGGGTCTCTCTGGACCGCAGGCCGACGCTCCAACCGCTGAGCCAAACCGGCCAGGGCGATTTCCTGTCTTCTTCAAGGGGCAGGTGGACAGGTGGGTGATGCCCTGTTAAAGGGCTGGAATGCCTCAAATTAGATCGTGCTGTGGGCCACAGTGCAGTACATATCTTCTGATTCACTGAAACTACTGGGGTGCTCATTATTCTGGCTGATATATTCCTAGAGCTTGGAAAAGAGGATCTGGGTGCTGGAACATTGGGTTGCTCTGTCTCTTCTCACTGTGAGCAGTTTGGGCTGCCTTACTTTCAGTTTTCCATCTGTCTTAGTGAGCTGGATGGGACTCCAGCAATCTAATCTGTTAGGCTTTGGAAGGGAAGGAAGCAGAGCAAATATTATGGTTTGACAGCCTATGGGAAGAGAAGAATCCTAGCCCTGCCCGATAAAAGCCCATCATTAAGTCTGGGAATTGGACAGTGTGGGGAGATAGGGCAGCTGAGAGGTGGGAGGAATGGGATCCCTTTCTTCTAATTCTGAGGGGGTCTGTGCGTGGTGCAGTGGGACTTGTAATTGACCTTTTTTTTCTAAGTGCTACTCTGTGTTCTTCCCTCCTCTGGCCCCAGCCAATCTTTTGGGCTTTATAGCTTATCTGCTTTCTGAAAGCCTCTTCTCTGCCCTGACCCCTGATGATTAAAGTGGCTCTCAGAGGAGTAAAGACTGGATTGGGCTCTCTCACCATGGAGGTCCCAGCCTTGCTGGTGCAGGAGCTCCTGACAATGCCCAGGGTGGGCAAAAGGCTTTCAGCTTTGGGCCTGTGGCGTGCATTTCTGCCAATAGAGGTCAGCCAGCTGAGATAAAGAGGGTGGAACGCCAGGTCTGCTTGTCCTTACACTCCTGGGAAATACTACAGTTGAAGTGCAAAGGCTGGTACTCGCTCTCCCATCAGCTAGGACTCCGATTTGGCCACCTGTTTGCAAAGTGGCTCTCTGCTATTGTGATTCTCCTTTGGGTGGAGCAGGAGGCAGCGCCACAGTCCCTTCCTTGGAACCTGATAGGCACGACTGGGTTCTGCTAACTTTCAGTGTAGTCTGGCCAAGATGGAGTCTGTGGATCTCTTGGATTTTTTTTTTTAACCTCTTAGAGAATTGTAGAGATGTTAAAGATGATGGTTCCTGAAGTAGACGCCAGAGTAAGGGACATTTATGCCTTTCTTTGTGAGGGATCCCTATGTTATGGCCTTTCCACTGATATTTGCAGGCTAGAAATGGTCCCTGCAGCTGCCTGCCCTGCATTGAGCAGCTTTTCGGTAGTCATGGTAATCATACACTACTTGTTAGGCACTCCACACACACACAAGTCTTAACAACAACATTTGCCCAGTGCTTACTCTTTACCAGATGTCCTGGTAAGCACTTTTCATGTGTTATTTATTTCATTTAATTCCCACAAGCAACCTTGGAAATTGGTACAGTGATTCTCTCCATTTTGTAAACGAAGAAATAAGCCCCGAAAAGTTCAGCAGAGTCTGACTCTAAAAGCCAGCCTCTTGCCCTGACCGATTTGGCTCAGCGGTTGGAGCGTTGGCCTGCGGTCCAGAGAGACCCAGGTTTGGTTCCCGCTAAGGGCGCGGACCTCGCCCTTTTGCAGTTTGTCCCCGGCCCTGCTTGGTCGTGCAGGTGGCAGCCACTCGATGTGTCCCTTTCACGTTGATGTTTCTCTCTCTCTCTCCCTCCCACTCGATCTGAACAAAAAATGGAAAAGTGTCCTCGGGTGAGGATAAAAAAAAATATTGTAAAAAAAAAGCCAGCCTCTTTCACTTCACTCTACCACATCAATCGTAGCTGAAATCAGCACACCCTTTTTCATGGTCACCTTACAAGGGTTTCATCAAATGCACTCATACCGATCACTGTCACCTGCATGTCCTCCTTGTCATACCCAGCCCCTCGTCAGTTCCTAAATTCAGGGTAGTGAGCACATGTTTTTAGACAGACGCACTTACAGTTTCCTCTGACACTTTCCAAAAGGCTACTAGCAAGGAGAAATCATGTTTTGTTTTCATTTTCCTACTGCCCATGTTTTAGTGGCTGACACTGTCAAGTTTTAAATGCAGATTATAACCCTGGAAGCCCCACCGTGAAACTGAATTTGTGGAGTCTTCTAAGTGAGGGGACTTGGATGAGTCTGCAGGTTGGAGATTTCAGTTTTTATAGGCTGTTTAGACTACCAAGGTGGCAGCTCGCCGCCCGTGCTGGTGGAGGTGTTCGAAGGAGCCTTGAGCTGTGGCAGGCCTTTGTTTGCTACTGGCTCCAACAACCGCATTTTCTCTGAACAGAGATGAGGCTGCTGTTAAGAGAGGTCATGAGTGTTTAAAATATTTTGTTGTTTTTAACATCTTTATTGCAGTGGTATCAGTGTTGTTACTTCTGCCATTTCCGCCCACATTTTTTCCCTTAAAAGTTCCTTAAGTGTCTCTTGCCCTCCATTCAGAGTTCTTGGGTCGAGTGGGGACTGGGCTGTCTGTGTCGAGGAGGCTCCTTTTCTTAACTTCCCCATTCCTGTAGATGTTTGCATTCCTCACCCTGAACTTCCGTTGGGAACACAACTCAGTACATTCCCTTCTCTCTCACATTGCTCTCCTGCCTTAAACTGTTTGGAGTTTGCTCTGATGACGTTTTCGAAATGCAGTGATATTCTAACAGTAGGAGAGAGATGCTTCCACACTTCCTAAGTTATCATCTTTGGCCCATTCTCAGGGATGTGTTCTGAAATAGCTAAGCCTGTGTTTTGTTGTTCTTGTGTTTTTTATTGGGCCCTTGGCATGGTTGAGGTTCTACAATACACACCTACGTGTGCGGCAGTTTAACATAGGTGAGCGCTCTGTTCACATGGCCCGTCCATATTCTAGCAATAGTTGAGTGCCTGCTCTTGACCTCCACACCCCAGTTCCTGTCTGCTGTATTACAGTCCTCCCTGAGACCTCTGATGTCATTTCCTGATAAACTTTCTCCTGTAGAAATTTAGCAATTTCCTGTTGGTATCCCTGTTGCTCACCGCCAACGCTGGATGCTGCCGTCTGCAGCTCCTACCCTCTTTCCCCACCATCCAAGGGCAATAAGACAGGAGGTGTATGTACTGTATGCCCCCCTGCATGTCAGAAACTGCCTTCCTGACTATGTTCTGGACTAAAATCACTGAAATTCCCTGACCTGCCAACACTAAGTAACATGAAAGAAAAGAAATCTCCCAATTTAAAAACCTAATTAATTGAAAAAATTTTTGAGCTCTTTTTGAACTGGAGGTTAGATTATGTCATAATGGGGCCAATGCCATTTAAGCCTTTATCTCTGTTATCCCTTTCTCGTATTTTTATATACCTCAACAGTGTCAGAACGGTCAGGCAGATCACTCTCGCTTATTACTCTATTCTTTCCCTTATCTCCAAAGTACATTAGTGATCTTAAAAACCAAGATGTCCAATACAGCAAACCATAGCTTTCATGACTTAATAGCTCTATAGCTTTTCTTAAAAAAAAAAAAAAAAAAATGTTTATTCATCTCTTCATCTATCCAGCCATGTATTTTTAAAATGTCAACCTGCCCCTTGGCTTGGCGGTTGAGCGGCAGCCCACGGACCAGAGAGTCTCAGGTTCAGTTCCCGCTAAGGGCACATACCTCAGTTGCAGTTCGTCCCTGGCCCCAGTTGGGGATGTGTGGGTGGCAGCCAGTCGATGTGTCTCTCTCACATGATGTTTCTTTCTCTCTCTTCCTCCCTCTCTCCCTCCCGCTCTATCTGAAGATAAATGCAAAAAATGTCTTCGGGTGAGGATAAAAAAAAAAAAAAAAATTGTCAACCATAT